TGTATTTTTTTTTTTTTTTTTTGTACGTAATGAATATGCGTCATAGAATGTGCCCTATCAGCATTTCGGTTTGCTCGTGATGAAACTGGTCGCGCATATAACCGCAGTAGCTGGAGCACCTAGGTTAAAATGAAATGTAATTTATTTTGAATTTGGAACAAATGAAGAGTTTAAAAAAAACTAAACGAAACAGTTTCATCTCAGAAATTTTTTAACGGAACGCGTTTTTAAAGATACAATTTATATCGCCTTTAAAAGTTAATTAACTTGAAAGTGCTTTTAGAAGCACGTGTCGTAATTGCTTTTAGTGCGGTTTCGAGAAGTGAAAGCTAGTGCCAACTGGTATTGAAAGTTCATGCCCTGAGCAGAACAAAATCAACTAATCGAACTTTTTAATATATTTGAATTGACAATAAAATAAAAAAGTTCATACAGTTCTGGCCCATTTTTCAAGGTAGGTATGTAAAAAGTAATTTACTATTTTTGTAGAAATATATCTTTCATTTGCATACCAAAACATGTTTATATAATGTAAAAGGTAGAATGAATTTTCACTTATATTTAACCTATGAGAACATGACAAATACACTTCTTCTCTAATTTTATGTTCAACATGATCATTGGGCAACCCCTAATCTTAGAGGAAACAAATTAATAAAAAAAAAAACAAGTTTGTGAACTATGTGGAATATGAAACTGACGAAATTATACAATAGTGGCAATTGAACAGTTTCACACCATCTGACGAATCGATTTTATTTTTACCTCTCCGAATTCCATGAAACTTTGCATAATTGTTCACTAAGGAAATGAACTAAGTATGTGCCAGAATTCAGACATTTGGGCTTATGTTTTTTTTTTTTTTTCCTTTGGTTTGTTTTTTCCGTCGATCTTGTTTTCGGTGCTGAGCACCAATACTACCGACGTGCCAGGAAGGCAGCTCCAACACCTGGACCCTACCTATCGACCCATCAACTCATGAACCGGGGACCAACGGCTTTACTTCCCATCCGAAGGAAGGCGTCATCAGAGATGTTATGCCTCAGAACATCCCGGCAGCGCCGACTGGGATTGAACCCAGGCCTGCTGGGGTGAGAGGTAATCACGCTTACCACTACACCACCGGCGCCGTTATTTGGGTTTATGTGTAATTTTTCAAAATGGCGTATTCGATTATTTTTTACAATAAATCCTGCTATTAGACAAAGTTATAGGAAACTTTATTTTAGTATCAGAAAAATATCACAAAAATTTTCGGCAAAAATGTAAAAATAAGCTCTTAAAAACTTCAATTAGAAAACAATTAATTTTAATAGTTTAAAATTATGTTTACTTGAAAGCTTATGAAAGATGCTAACTTTTCTGAAACGGACACAATATTTAGACACTTCAAAAATGATCAATATCGTAGAGCATAAACCTTTTTTAATTTCAAAAATATCTAACACGCCATTTCAAAAAACTTGGTGTGACTCAAAATGGCCAAATTCAAGCACAAAATTGATTCATTCCCTTATCGAACAATTATGCAAAGTTTCATGGAATTCTAAAAAATGGAGAGGTAAAACATAAAATTTGTTTATTTTTTCGCTTTGGTATGAAACTGCTCAATTACGATCCCCTTATAAGCTTACTAGCTATGGGTAATCGACTATAAGAAAAAATGTTGCATATCCTGAAAATGTTGTAGTTCCAGTATTTCAAAATAAATATACTACAAATTAAAACAGAACCATATACAAATGGAAATTCATTGGATGTATTGTTGAACGAAGTTGAAGAAATTTATAATGACTTTGTTGATGATGAAAAGGTAAAAAATGAATTAATTCATACTTTTTGTCAAATAGTAAATGTAGGTAAAAATCAGTTCATTGGATTATTTATAAAATCTTTAAATAAGGGAAATAGCTCTAATCTCGGTCTATGGAGCTAATAATAGTAATATTTTCTTTCGGCGCAGATGATGTGCAGTAATCGAAAGTTATGAATGTATCACAATAGTTACAATAATATTCAAGCCAATTTCCGTATTGGACTGCAAAAGCCGAACGTACGAACGAATAAGGTGCCCATAGCACATTTTTGGTGTGTGTAAATAAGATTAAGATTGATAAAATATAGCTAACCAAAGTTGCCTAAGAGAAAAAACATAGAATGTTGAATAATTCACTTGGCAGTCATTTCCGACCCTATGTTTCATGGGATTTATTCATATCTTTGGGAGCCCTATATACCCTAAAAATATATAAAACATGCAAGTACACCCAACCCTGTTTTTGTGAAGTTAAACAAAGTTTTGTAGGTACCATATTTTTCTTTAATTTTTTTTCTGTTTTTGACACCGTTGCACACTGGGGCAGATCAGTGATTTTCTCGGAAAAAATTAATAACTTTTGAACAAAGCATCCAATCAGAATACTGTCTTCGGTAAAGTTGTTTATATTAGTTAAGCGCTTCTTCTGAATAAATTAATTAGTTCGCAACTTGGTCGTAGAGATGGCGCGCGAATCTAACTTTTGAATACAGCATCCTAGACGTATGGTGTTTTCAACAAAGTTTTTTATCTATTAAAATGAAGGAAAGTTGCAGAAGACAGAAAACTTCCATAACCTTTAGTTTCGGAGATATAGGGTGTATTGAAAAATATGATGCCAAAATTCTTATTTGTAATTTTTTTGTATATTTTCATATGTTTGCTCTGGTTTCTGCATTTATTCCAACGAAAACAAACTAGGTGCAAATTTTCATTGCACTATTTGTGGAATTTATAGTGGTTTTAGTGAAATATTCTCGAAAAACATGATATTTTGCCTCTATTTTAGGTGGGTTTCTCGAAAGGGCAGCTAAGGGCAGCTGGACTTTGTCTCTTTTGCTAGCTCATGTCATTGTCTAACATATACCAGAAAACTGAAGACATGATATTCGATGATTTTTTTTAATTTCACTTTATATATACCGATAAAAACATCCTTTACATTGAAATGAACTGTTTCACATAATGAAAAACATTATATAAATTTTTGACATGTCACCATTTTTAAATGCTGTGCTGAATTTTGAGATTGTTTACTTATTATGAGCTGCCAGCAAACCAGGGGCCTGGCTGGCGGCCATGTTTTTGATGCTATCATCTGTTTTTGACTCTCTGCTTACTACACGATTATCCGTCCCTTTCCACCATGTATACGTCAGCTCAATCAGCTGCATTGCCCAGGTAAAGTTGTATATGTGACATCATCGTACAAGCTGTGTGTTGCCGTGCCAACGTGATCGTGTACAACGTACAATTATCGATTACTTTTTCGAAGAGACGTATCAGCTTTTGTAAACAATGCATTTGATCGTCGGTTTGGTGTAACTGGTAGCTCATTCACGCATACGAACACCACTATCATGCAGGAGAAAATTTCCCCTATCTGATGATAGTGTTAGTATACGTGAGCGAGCTACCAGTTACGCCAAACCGACGATCAAATGCATTGTTTACAAAGCTGATACATCTCTTCGAAAAAGTAATCGAGAATTATTAATGTGCGTCAATGTTTCAGTAGTTGGTATCCATAAGCGTGAATTTTTTTCTCGTCTCAGTTCAGTGATCAATTTCCGGTGTTGAGCAATAATCCACAAAGTTGCTATAATGGATTCACCTTCAATGTGAATTTTCAACAGTTGTTTATTCTATGCCATATGCCAACATGCATTTCGTTTAGTGGTGTCTCAAAATTAATTTTTAGTAAAGATAATAGATCACACAAGCACATCAAACTATGTTTACAACCAGATCCATTCATTACAAGTCTGCGAAAAAAAACCGAAGAAAAATTCAGCCCAATTAATAAAAAAAAGCGAGGTATTGGCATTATTACAACCACAGGATTCATTTGACAAATAGTGACAATTAAGGACAACTGATTTCTAAATACTTCAACTTAAGAGATAGTTTAATCTTTAAACCATTACTGCTTCTGGAATTTTAAAAAGTTTAACGAATAAAAATTATACATAACCGACAGGTTTCCTTATTAGTAGAGATACTTGTAACGGTTTACAAAAGGTGAAATTAAAAAAAATCATCGAATATCATGTCTTCAGTTTTCTGGTATATGTTAGACAATGACATGAGCTAGCAAAAGAGACAAAGTCCAGCTGCCCTTAGTTGCCCTTTCGAGAATCCCACCCACCTAAAATAGAGGCAAAATATCATGTTTTTCGAGAATATTTCACTAAAACCACTATAAATTCCACAAACAGTTCAATAAAAATTCGCACCTAGTTTGTTTTCGTTGGAATAAATGCAGAAACCAGAGCAAACATATGAAAATATACAAAAAAGTTAACAAATACGAATTTTGACATCATATTTTTCAATACACCCTATATCTCCGAAACTAAAGGTTATGGAAGTTTCATGTCTTCTGCAACTTTCCTTCATTTTAATAGATAAAAAACTTTGTTGAAAACACCATACGTCTAGGATACTTTATTCAAAAGTTAGGTTCGCGCGCCATCTCTACGACCAAGTTGCGAACTAATTAATTTATTCAGAAGAAGCGCTTAACTAATACAAACAACTTTACCGAAGACAGTATTCTGATTGGATGTTTTTTTCAAAAGTTATTAATTTTTTCCGAGAAAATCACTGATCTGCCCCAGTGTGCGTTGCATCAAGTAAAGTTTCATTTGAATACCGGAAAAAAAAATTAAAAAAAATCGCGTTAAACATTGGCTGGGTGTACTCGTTTAAGCAAAAGTTCAATTTATTTTTTGTTCAAAATTACCCCGTTTTACGGTACCTAACAATGTTGGAGGAATGATTTTTGTTTGTTTAGGACACTTAAATATTGTCAAATCAAAACACAATTTGGACTGCAGCTTTGGTTTTACTTAAGCTATAACTTTTTTTTATGAATATTTATATTTTTTCAAAAAATTAAAACTTTACAGAGCTCATAATAAATTAATTAACACAATTCCACCCCTCTCAATTCTAATTACAGCCAGAAACAATTCCTCAAGCCATAATCGACATGACCAAGGTACTAGAGGTAACCACAGCTGAAGATGTTACTAGTCATCCACACTCAATTGCCATTACCGCACCGGAGCGAGTTACATTCGTGAAGGGTACGTGCCCCGAGGAAACCAAATGGTGGTTCAACGTGCTTTCGGCCTTCCCAAAATCTAAGGTGATAAAGCAAGCTTCCGTCAAACTGTGCTAGCTGTGTGTTCCTATTACAAACATATTCCAATATATTTCACAGGGTCGACATAAAAGAAATGCAACGTTTCCCGGTGGTCAAGCAACTACCATCCTGCAGTCACAACGTAAGTATTTGGTCTATCTCGACTTGTTCTATTTCTATTGAGTAAGAAGTAAGGTGAGAATTTGTTCGGTGCAAATTTCAATCGCAGTTTCCATTTGTATGTCGCATTGTTTGACTTTTGAATCGTAAAAATGACTGGAACAGGACATTTTGACATGTTTCTATGGCAAGGCAATATTAAATTAATCCGATGGCCTCTGTTAAAGATCAACACTCAGCGGTAGGTCTACCAGTAATCACCTCTACCCACTCGAGCCGTATAAAATCGATGGCTATCATCAGCTTCCAAGAGGTAATCAACAATCGTCAGTACCTTGCTCACAAACAGTCTGTGTCTGTTCAGTGTAGCAAGGGAGCTTTATAATGCACAGCCGGGTGCATCGCCAGTCCAGGCTGCAATCAAAAGTGGGAGCGAACAAAACATCAACGTCGAGAATTGCTTACAAGTACACTCTGCTCGTACGCTGTTATAAATGATATGAAACCCGTTATGCAATCAATAATAACTAATGATCCGAGCAAACGTTCACTGCGAGCAATTCTTTGGTATTATTCTCAGTCCAATTGCAATATTTTCACCGTGACGGGAACATCGAACGTTATTTGGATTTTGACTCTGTAAAGCCACTCCTCATAAATTTCATCAAATCGATTCGGAATTCATGACAGCTCTGCTGCAGTGCTCATCTCTCTTTATGCCACCAAACCAACCATAGAACCGCGCCTCTTCAAAGAAATGCCTACCAATTGCCTTCCTCATTCCAGATGCAAATGTATTCATAATTTCACAGAAATTGCTTGCATAGAACAAATTTCTCATTTTACCAAGAATCTATTGCAAAGTACCGCTAGGCCTTAGAACAAAAATGCCAATAGTAATTGCATTTCTTTGCCTTTTCTTGTTCCTTCCTCGGGATCAACTCGGAACAGCTCCATCAGTTGGTCGGAATCGGCATAATTCGTACCACAAAGACATGCTGCCGGTGGGTAATCTGGAGGCTCTGACGGCGCCTTGCTCCTGGAATCCCGTGGCCACGATTGCATCCGATGAGAACAATCTAAATGCAAATAATGAAAATAACAGCATCACCACCACAGGCAGCAGTATCGGTGGCAATAACAACAACATCAACAGTAACAGCTGCAACGTGAACGCCAAAGGTATGTTTCGATCGATCTTCGTTGAATTATTATGAATCAATAGGAATGCTGAATTTGTTTGTAAATGTGTGAACAAAGGAAAATTATAAGAGATTCTGTGATTGTTATCCGTTGTTCAATTTAAAGCCTAATTTTTGCAATTTATTTGTAATATAATAAACAATTATGTGGATACTTGGTGGTCCGGCGTGGCATTCGATGCGTTGATTTTAAACTATCATCGTCGACGTTTCGGTCCTTGAGCCCAAAACATTAAACTAAATATAGTTGTGTTCTTCCTTTTTTATTTAACGTTGGTCTCTGTTCCGCAATCGAGTGCCAATCACGGACGAGGGTATAGCTGATTAATCACCGACAGCAATCTAATACCAACCAAGGAGGTGACATTCACACCTGCAACCTATAGAACCCATCAACACATGGGCCGGAACCAACGGCTTTACTTCCCTTCGGAGGGAGCAGAGATTTTTTCACCTCACAAAATTCCCAACGACCTCAGCTGAGATTGAACCCAGACACACTGGGGTGAGAGAGTGTCACGGTAACGACTAATCCATTGGCGCCGTCAATTATGATAACTTGCCTGACACTTTTTTTTCCTTGATTTGTTTTCCGTCGATCTTGTTTTCCGTACTGAGTGCCAATGCTACCGACGCCAGGGAGGCAGCTTACGCACCTGGAACCTACCTATCGACCCATCAACTTATAGACCGAGGACCAACGTCTTTACTTCGCTTCCGAAGGAAGGCGTGATCAGAGAATTTATGCCTCAGAAAATACCGTTGGCGCCGACTGGGATTGAACCCAGGCCTTTGGGGTGAGATACAATCACGCTTACCACCACACCACCGGTGCCAAGTTAAACTTTCGTTTATATGCAATATCGTTATAGCGCAGTGTCTCATCAAGGATGTAGTATTAAAATCAAATAGGTTAAACAAAAATAGTCGACTAAAAGGTGTTACGATCAAAATTTTGTCAAACAAGAATGCGTGTAAATTTATTATGCAATTTATTCTGGTGCTTATAATTGGCAGGATCCAATATTGGACAGTTTGATGTTTATAAAGTACTATCAGTTAAAACTGTGTTTTTGAGATTTGTCTATATATATTCTTTGGTGCTTCCTACATCGGTTGCAGGACAGTGTTACCGATTTATATTGGATAATCCAAAGCTATGTTGATCATTATAACATTAAATTTTGAATAACAACCCTAATAAACAAATACCATAAACGAACTGTATCTCGGATAGGTAAACCATCCCGCATAGGGTTTGGATGATACCCCGAACACGTCGTTAAGCTCTCTTTTATGGTTATTTTTATTAGGGAAATGATAAGACAATCTTATTCAAATGTCGTAATAATACCTCTGACCAAGGAAGAATGATTTATATAGTTTTCATAAAAGTTGACGATACAAATACTAATGAGGAAAGGAATTCCGCATTTCCTTTTCCCAAGTCCTTTTCCTCTCCTTCCCTTCCCTTCTTCTCTTTTCAGAAAGCGAGTAATGGCGCTATAACCATATGCCATATAGGGCTAGGACAAGAGTTAGTGCTCAGGTCCCAACCGCTAGAAGAAAATGGTAGCGAGCAAGGGCGCTATAACCTAGGCGAATACAGCATTCCCTCCGTATAGGTTACGTCCGCACACCGCTCTCTGTTGTCCTTCGACTGAGGTCGGCTGGATCGATTGAGGGATGGCAGTGGGTTGGCGGTGCCGTCCACGCTTGTATGGAGGGAGGACTGTACGCTCGAACACAAGGGGTAAATACCTGTGTTCCATCCCAGGAGATCGGACAATCAAGGAGTGTACATTAACTTTCTTAGCTCTGTCACTCCCAACGATTTATATAGCCTATTTTCAAATCCTGCATACGGAGCGGTTGGTACGGTATGTCCCCGCTCTTTGATTACCTGTGGATTAAATGTTAACCACTGTCTATACTTATTAAGTAGACATGGTAAACATTCACTTCCACAAAAATTAACTTAACGCTACACAGTAGGCCTGGCCGCTTTATTGTTTGTTTCACATCCTTGATGTGCAGCAGGCATTAATAATGACAAGAAAAATGATAGATGTATCATTTTCCAGGATTCTTTCAAGTACTGGCTGTGTATGTGTAGACTAGACTAGACTAGACAAGAATGCGTGTAAATTTATTATTTTTTTATTAATAGGAAATCAAATTATTTTTTTAAGTTCAATCATTATAAAATAAAGAAAAAATATTTAGCTAAGCTTCGATGGCTCAATATTTTTCGATTGGGTGGAGCTCTGGCGTGTTGGAAGGGATGTTGTCCTTGGGCACCACCTGCACGTTGTTGGCGGCATACCACTCCATGGCCTTTTTTCCGTAATAGCAGAATGCCAAATCCGGACAAAACCACACGGAACAATCTTTTTGCTTCAGGAAAGGCAGCAGACGTTTTTCCAGACACTCGTTCACGTAAATATCCTGGTTGACGGTCCCGATTTTAATAGAAATATCGCTTTTCAAGCCACAGGTAAAGATAGCCTGCCAAACCAGATATTTCTTAGAGAACTTCGACAGTTTCATATGCATGAAAATGTCTGCCCCCTTTTCCCATAGAAAACTCTTGATCAGGAAGCTGTTTGAAGTCTGCCTTGACGTAGGTTTCGTCGTCCATTACCACGCAATCGAACTTCGTTAGCATCGTCGTGTACAGTTTCCTCGATAAGCTTAGTTTTTAGCTCGATGCAAGCTTTAAACCACTGGCCACTCTTTTTATCGTCGCTGCGGCTTCCAGCTTTCCGATCACCTTTACGCTGGTGATAACTGATTTGGCCACTTTTAACGATTTCGCTAACTCGGCGGGCGAGTGGTTCGGATTTTCGCGACGCGTGTGCAAAATTGTGATGCGTTGCTCCTCTTGCTTGGACGCCATTTTGATAACTGAAGAGCAAATGTCAAAATCAAAATAAAGGCATCATTCTGCACGCGCACACCTACACGCTAAGATGCACTTACCTTAAATTCGGTAAAGAATACCTAGATATAGGTAGAAATTACCGATAATCGAAGAAAGTGCACATACCTAAATCACGGATTACCAATAATTAACGTTAAAAATTACCTAGCTTATAGTAAAAAAAAGCCTATTTAATAAAGTAAAAAGAAACGATATTTATAATACCGATAACTTTTTACCGATAATTTTAGATAATCGTAGCTAAGAGTGTACAAAAAGAGGGGGTTTCAAGTTTCTTAAATATAGATAAACATGTCAAAAGGTCGTATCTGCAGTTATCGATTCTCTTCATTGACTTTCTCTTTCGATAATAACTCAGCTGCAAAACCTATCTCTGTTGTATTCAAGGTTGCAAATACTCATTTCAGCTAAAACAATGTTTTTTTTTAATTATGAAATAATTAGATGCCATGATCATATTTTGAATTGGTAGGAGACAAGAAGAGCTTGCAAAGAATGTGTTTGACATATTAAACCTGTTTATTTCACTTCATGAGAGTCACAATCAGCGATTTTTCACAAACTCACTAACTCATTCACTCACTCACTCAGCGATCAGAAAATCGCTGATTGTGACTCATAGAATGCAAAATTTACAGGTTTATATTTCAAACGCATACTTTGTAACTTCTTCTTGTAAGTTACAAGTAAAACATACCATCATACAATCTTTTGGTTTTATTATTCCGAAAAACATTATTTTAGCTGAAATGAGTATTTGCAACCTTGGTTGTATTTGATGTTTTTGACGCTAGGTAAGAACCTCCTTTATCAAACAATGTGGTAAAATTAGCGCGAAATCTGTTCGCATAACAGTGGTTATCAAAAGAGAAAGTCGATGAAGAAAATGGATCAAAGCACATAGGACAATTTTAAATGTTCATCGAGAAATGCTCGATGATCATATTTTTGGTACGATACTTTAGATAAAAAGCTACAATACAAAGTACATAAATTCTAAGTACGCATAGTGGGAGTTTCTTCAGATGAAAAAAGTTCAAACTTTGACGATTTTGTGACACCCAAATCATTTCCGATTGACCCCAAATTTTGCACAGGGTCTTTTTTCGAGGCAATGAACGTTTTGTATATGGTCGGTTTCAAAAATAGTTTCATTGGCGCCCTAATATTTAGTTTTATGTGTTAGTTTGTTAGTATAACGTTTACGTAAAGAATTACGTAGTAGGCCATGCGATAAAAATAATAAGAAATTATTGGTTGCGTCGTTAGCAATTTGCTAAAAAAATTTACCTTAATTGAAAACATGTCTAACGCGCATTTTAAGTGATTTTTCGGTTTTCATTCGCAATGATTGATTAAAAAGGTTTGTATTTATTGTTTTTGCATCAGTAAAGTATTTAAGGAATATAATTCAAAAACTGAACTTGCAATAAAGTCCTTTCCAAAGAATTTCTTTAATTACGTAAAAACCAAATTAAAATCTGACAATTTTCCTTTAATCATGCATCTTGACGAAAACGTCGACGGTAGCTCGGCAAAAAACTGTAATCTATTTGCTATTTTTGTTCAAGAAATCTATACGACATTTTCTGAAGTAGATCGCGATCGCGATTATTTTACATTGTATCTAGAACTTTCAAGGGACATTGGCGTCAATCAACTTCAAGTGCAGGATATTTTGCAGGCTTTAAAAAATTTAGACGCCTCCAAAGGTCCTGGACCTGACGGAATTCCTCAAGTATTTATGAAAACTCACTGCTCCATTGTTTTGGCTTTTTAGAATGTCCCTGGAATCCGGAACCTTTCCAAAAAAATTGAAAAGCTCTTTTCTAGTGCCTATCTTTAAATCTGGCCGAAAATCTGTCGTACGTAATTATCGTGGAATACCCATCATCTCTTGCATTCATAAACTTGTTGAGGCAATTTTCAACGAAAAATTATTTCTCCAAACCAAAAATAGAATTCCTGACATGCAACACGGCTTCTTCAAGGATCGTTCGACCTCGACAAATTTACTTGAATTTATAGACTATTAA